CCAGCGACAGGTGCCATCGGAAGCGGACCTACTCCCTGACCACGCCGTGCCGGCAGCGACCCGCCGCGCCGCAGGTTTCCTCCGCCTCCCTTGACGAGTACACGCTGATGCGCGCCACCTTCGCCGGCAGCGCCGGCCGCCTCTTCCCCTCCTGCCAAACAGGGGCTTCCCCCAAAGTGACCTACACCCCCTACCCCGAGGACTACGGGGACATCGAGATCGGGTCTCACCGCAGCTCCGGCAGCAGCAGCACCAATCTGGGCCCGCCGGCAGTGGGGGGAGGAGGGGGAGATGATGACGGCTACATGCCCATGACCCCCGGTGTGGCCGCGTCCTTAGGGCAGGGAAGCCGGGGCAGCGATGATTACATGCCCATGAGCCCCACCAGCGTGTCTGCCCCCAAGCAGATCCTGCAGCCCCGGGCAGGGGTGGGTAGTGGGTCCCCGGGGAACGGGAGCAGCTACAAGACCAGCTCGCCTGGGGAGAGCTCCCCTGACGATAGCGGGTACATGCGGATGTGGTGCGGCTCCAAGCTGTCAATGGAGAGCTCAGATGGAAGGCTGAGTAACGGCGACTATATCAATATGTCCCCTCGAGACCCCCAGAACGGGCCCCACGCTCCCTCCCTCACCCCCCCAGACTTCTTTTTTGCCCCTTCAGGGCACGGGTCCAGTGAGCCCCCAAAGCCCAGCTGCTATTCATACAGCTCCTTACCCCGCTCCTACAAGAGCCAGGGCTTGGCAAAGGACAGTGACCAGTATGTGTTCATGAACTCCCCGGGGAGGATGATCCCGGAGGAGGCGGTGTGTGGAGCGAGCCAGCTGCCTGCAGGCACCTTCGCCCCCTCCAGCCACACGGTGCCTTCGCCCCTGCGGCACAGCCGGACCGAGAGCTTCCTTAGCCAGCGGTGCCAGCGGGTGGCCCGGCCCAGCCGCCTTTCTTTGGAGACCTTGCGGACGATGCTGCCCAGCATGAACGAGCACCCTCTGCCGCCTGAGCCCAAGAGCCCTGGTGAATACATCAACATTGACTTCGGGGATGCTGCTGTGTATTCTCCCCCCTCGCTGCCTGCCGACAGCCCAGCCTCCTCCCTGGGCTCAGGCACGGGGCAGAGGCGCTCCCCTCTCTCCGACTACATGAACATTGACTTCGGGTCGCAGTCACCCTCCCAGTCGGGCACGGTCTCAGTGGGCTCCTTGGAAGCTCTCTCTCCGGGTTCTTCCTCCAGCACCAGCCAGCCCAATGGGTGCTACCTGAAGGCGGCTGTGGGGGTTGCTTGTTCGTCCAGCCCATCGGATGGTGGTGATTACACCGAGATGACCTTTGGCATGGCCACTACCCCACCTCAGCCCATCGTTCAGAAACCAGAAAGTGCCCGGGTCACCAGCCCCACATCCGGCGTGAAGAGGCTCACCCTTTCTGGGGTGGAGGCTTTCATTCTCTCCAGCCCTCCCCCAGACCCGAATCGGGGGGCCAAAGTAATCCGGGCAGATCCCCAGGGGCGGAGGAGGCACAGCTCAGAAACTTTCTCCTCCACCACCACTGTGACCCCAGTGTCCCCCTCCTTCGCACACAACCCCAAACGACACAACTCAGCCTCGGTGGAGAACGTGTCCCTCAGGAAAAGCGAAGGCCTGGAGGAGGAGCAGGGTAGCAGTCCCATGTGCCGGGAGACCTCGGCTGGCTTCCAGAATGGCCTCAACTACATCGCCATTGATGTGGTAGATGGGTCCCTGGCAAACTGTGACAAATCCAGGTTGAAAGCTAGGCACCTCCTGAATGGGGGCATCAATGGAGTAGAGATGAGCACCTATGCCAGCATAGACTTCCTGTCTCACAACCTGAAAGAAGCCAGTGCTGTGAAAGGTGAGTAGCTACATCTGACAGAGCCTGCTGTGTGTTTGTGCTTTGTGTTTACCAAGGTTGTGTGTTGTTGTGTAGAGCACTGTGTCTCTTCGCTTCCTTAAAAATCACTTTTACCCCTTTTTATGTAATAAGCAGTCTTGGAGGAACTTGGTGGCTCTTTGTATGAGGAAGAAGGTTGAATTTTTTCAGTACTTCTGTGTCGTTATTATGTGTTTATACTTCTGGGTACCGCACGAGAAGTTGCTGTTTACTCGGTTTCTATGTTTGGGCTGTATTCAAGAGTTTTCTTAAGTAAGATTTTGGAAAGTGTTTGGAAAATTTGACCTAAATAGTTTATGTTAATGCAACTTCTAGATGCTATTTAAAAGTGTAAAATGATTGAGTTAAGACCAAGATTGTTTGACTGGGAACATCAGATTACAGAAACAATCCTTGGCTCTCTAGCTGAGAAGGTCTGTAATATCAAATTGAGAAGGATAAAATTAATATCATGGTTTTGAAATACCTTATCTCTTGCAAAAGTTTGACAGTAAGCCATAGTGAGCATGGAATGTGAATTTAAAAATCGGTAATTCTTTCCAGAAGTCACTATGTGCTTGAGCTGTGTGGCATATTTCACTTAAGCCTGTGTTGGTGTGTAACAATGTTCCGGTTGATGGCTCATGGGTTGCAAGTGTTGTGTGACAAACCGAAGAAGTCTGAAATTTAGGGTGAGAGAGAATTTTGCTTTTCAGTAGGTAGCTGTTCCTTTAATTAGGTGCTGGTTATGCTGAGAAAAAAAGGAAAGAAACAAATACCTTTCCTTCTTTCCCAAAACAGTACTCCCCCTTCTCTCAGTGAGCTAGGGCTTGTACACAGCTGGAGGCTGGTTGAGGAGGGCACGGAACACCCAGTCTGTCAAGGAGGAAAAGTCAATAATGAGATGCTTGTAAGGATGCTCTTGGATTTATGACAGACACGGTAGTCAAGCACTTATGCATAGATAGCTGTAATATGTGTTCATGGGTATAGCTGGGTGAAACGACAAGCCATGTAGTAGTTGCTTGGAGAAGAATAGGTATTGCTTCTCTATTCACAGTGCCGGTAGAGGCGTTGATAACAAGTGAGCAGCAAAAGCTTATTTGAGCCACTTGCAATTTTCTTTTTCTTTGTGTTTCCTTAGTAGCTAGTTGATTTTGAAGAAGAAAATATTTTCTCTTTTGATAGGAAGTACAGGAAGATGGAAAAGATGAGAGATCCACCGTTTGCAGAGCAAGCTTTGAACCTAATTAAGACGAGAGGATTGTTGAATGCAATGTCAGAGTTTGAAAAGACGAAGGCTTATTCTGAATGACTGGAAGGGTTGAGGGCCGAGCCTTATTTGTCTCTTTAATTCTAGTTTTGCTGGGGTCGCTTTCAGGACCCTTGTGTCTTGCCCGAGCCCGGTGCGGATGCTGCAGCCCCCGCTCTCCTTGCCCGGCCTTGGGGTGGCGGTCCTGGGCGCCAGCAGACGATCACGCCCCTTTGCTTTGCAAACGGATTTTTCGCAGAAACGAGGAGCTTGTCTTGAGCCACCTCCAGCCCCAATTACAGATGAAGCCCGGTGTTGGGAAAGAGCTATTTCCACAGCATTCCCCAAACTGCT